TCTACCTGGGACAACGATGGGATACCACCTTCTACCCTCAAGGATATAGAATAAGAGGCTGGAAGAGAGAGTTTCAAGGAGAGTTGCTGAAAATTTTGAAGTGTAATGTATACACCAAGGACTCGTTTCTAACTCATGGCTAAGAAGAGCAGGATGGAGTGTTACCTAAGCTCTGCCTTCTGCAAGGACAATGTGTCCAGGGAGCAAAGAGCCCCCTCCCTCTTGGTGCTGCAGGCAGGACAGTGCTCTCTGGTGGGTCAGCCCACATCCTCAGGGCTGGCTGGGCAAAGGGTCCTGGCAGCGGATGCAAGCAGTACCCAGAAGAGATCCAGCGCATCTCATCGACCCAGGGTGAGAACATCTCAGCAGAAGGAGTTGACTGGGGACCCACCAGCTAAGGGAGGAGTTACAAAGGGTTAGGCAAATGCAGGTGAATCCACATAGGTAATGCGAGCAGGAGGAAAAGCTCAGCAGAGTACTTCAAAGAGCCCAAAAAGGCAGCCACAAAAAAACAGAAAAGGTCTGTTTTAATTATCAGCAACTTGACTAGGGATGGTAGCTTCAGGCCCATCTCCATCCCTCTTCCACCATGTTGGCAAGGATGTGGCAGGTAGTACACAGGGAGAAGTACACAGGGAGAAGGAGATGAGCAGGGACAGCAAGGTGAGCAGGGAGTGGGTGAAGAGGAAGAGAGATGAAGAGGGAGGAGGGTGAGAGAGGTTGGTGGGGACAGGAAGTGAAGAGAGAGAGCAGGTGGCAGGGGAGTGAGGGGTGAGGAGGGAAGGGTGTGAAGGTGAGGAGGAAGGGGTAAGGAGGGAAGGGCTGAATAGGGGGGTTAGGAGGAACAGGAGTGAGCAGGGAGGGGAAGGGAGCACGGGCACGAGGAGGGAGGGGTAAAGAGGAAGAAGAGGGAGGAGGGAGAGGAAGGGAGAAGAGAAAGGACAGGAGTGAGGAGGGAGGAGTGGAGGCAGGGGAGTGAGGAGGAGAGGGGATGGGAGTAAGAGGAAAAGGAGGGGAAGGAAGAGAACGAGGAGAGGGGGAGGAAGGAGAGAATGGTGAGGAGGGAGTGGGGGTGAACACGGAGGGGTGGAGACAAGAGGACCATGCCTGAAACAGGTCAGAGCTGAAGGCAGTCAGACAACTGGCTGCTGTCACATTCCAAGTTTTGATTAACATCTGCACCATGACATTCTAATTACTGAATGCAGATTGTGCTTACAACCTAAAGTGACCTTGGAGTATCTTTTATGTAAGACTGGAGGCAAAAGCAGAAAGACCTGCCAGCACTGACATCCTGGGCAGGAGACAACTAATCCCACTGAATCAAGCTCAAAGGTTTGTTGGGGGAAAGACTGTAATGCAGTGTTTTGTTTATGTCACAGATGCTGCTTGGTAAACTCACCAGTTACATATTGTCAAAGCTGTGTTTTCTACTCTTATGGATTTACACACACTCTTTCCAGCATCTTGCCCACACTGAGGAGAAAGGGGAGGTTCTTTTGCTTTCAGTCACAGGGTCTGGGCTGTGATCAGAAAGAGCCTGTAGAAGATTAGAATTGTTGAGGTCCGAAATGTACATGGTGGACGGTAAGGGCCAGGGGAGGGCTCACACCTCCGTCAGGGTTTCCAATGACCATGTGGACAGAATGAGCTGTGCCTGCTCTGGCCACGTACCTCCAAAGATCTCTCTCCTTCTGTGTCTTCCACAGCCCACCTTTTCTGCTGTGTCGCCAGGAGCTGAGGAGAAACTCTTTACCCAGCCCCTCAAATTTCATCTCCATGTATTTTTATAAGATGTACCTACTACAAGAAGTCTGTTGAATACCCAAAATCCAGCTCTGTTGAGAAAGTAGAGATGAAAATGAGTGTCCAGATTTAGAGACTGTCATTGAACTAGGGGCCCTTGCAGTTATAGAACATTCCCTGAGTGTTAAAACAAATGGCCAGAAAATAATAATAATAACTAAAACATTAGAATAGAAAGAGAAGAATCACTGTATTCACTTATTTTCTGAAGTATTGAGCTCTATCCTTTAACATACACAAAATGATCCTAGGTTAGTATTTTAAAACAGCAATGGCAAGCTTGGCCTCGGGGCTGGTGAGGCTCATTCTTAGCCAGTTGATATTGAAGGTCAAGTATGACTTGACATTCTCGCATCACCTCCTGGGGCTGTGCAAGCCCATGCCTGTGGACAGATCAGAGTCTTCCTGACAGGGAGTTCCCCTCCCTGCTTCAGACTAAGGCTAACAGAGAGCAGAGGGGAGGTGAGCGAACTTGCTAGAACACAGAGGGTTCCTTCCGCCTGCTACAAACTAAGCTCTCTGAAAAGCAGAAAAGATGCCAGGGAGGCGTTCAGAGCATGCCAGAAAAAGAAGAAAAAGAAGATGAAGAAGAAGAAGAAGAAGAAGAAGAAGCAGCAGCAGCGGCGGCGGCGGCGGCGGCGGCAGCGGCAATTTAATCTTTGAAAAGCAAGAAGAACAGAGACCCTCCAGGAGAAAACATGAGAAGGGCTGATGGCTTGGGGAGGAGACAGACCTGGACTGGCTCAGCATAAAAATGTTCAGTCCCTGCAGATGTCTCTGCTCCCCGAGACGGCTCATCTCATGCCTCCCCAATCCATCCCATGTATCTTCAAGTTTGTAGAAACACAGGCTGTTCTCCATGCAACCACGAGTGTGGAAGATCTGTAATCTACTTCAATTCCACAAGAGGTTATTAAGCATGTACTTTGTATGAGGTACTGTGTGCAAAGTGATATGGAGGCAGCGATGATGAACAAAACATGAGTCCTGCCCTCAGGGAGCTTTGGGTCAAAGTGAGATATGGACACAAATAAAAAAGATAAATACAAGATGGTTTTTTGTGCATGCTACACTATGAAACACACCAAGGAGGGCAAGATGAAATCTAGCTCCAGACAATACTGGGGAGAAAGGGAGGGCTTGTAGAAGCAGCAGCCTCTGAGATGTGCACTGAAGGGTGTGAAGGATTTCAGAAGGTGGGGAGGGAGGAAGGCAGGAGGAGAGAGCCCATCAGATTGCTTGAGTTTAACTAAAATAACCAGCATTTCCAACCCGCATTGGACTAACTCATTCTAAGAAGCCAAATGGACAGACTGCCTAGAGATCGTGGTGTTGGTGTGGGGGGACAGGAAACACAGTGTGTTGTCACTGGGGTTACAGGATAAGAACAGAGCAGAGATTCAGGCCCTGGAACCTCTTCACCCTTACAAATGCCAGTTGTCCTGGATAACAGCCCTTTTTCGGCAGGTGATGAGTTGATCCCATGCCATCCTGCCCAGTTTCGCAGTGGTGCTCCATCTACTAGGACAGCAGGAGCTAGCTACCAGAAAGCCCGTGACAGCTCATGAGGTTAATGACCTAAATTTGCAACCACTCGCCTTCATCAGTTTCCCCTGCCCTCCACGTTTTTCTTCTCCCTTTACTGCAGTTTTCTGACAGCGTCTGTCAGCAATCTCCCCATAACCCCAGTTTATCATTCCGCGCGGTTCAGGACGAGCTTTGGGGCCACTGCAGTTCGACCAGGGCCTGGCTTTGTTCCTCCTGCCCCAGCAGGCGTGCAGTCAAATTTCACACGAGATTATGCTCAGCTCAAAGGACAGGAGGGGGCCTCAAAGGTGAAGCGAGAGCTGCTACCAGCCTGCCCGAAGGTCTCCTCATTGCCAGCGGAGGAACGGAACCGAGGACCACACTCCATCGTTCATCTCGATTTCTGTGTCCTAAGGTGACCACTGCAGATGATACAATGCACGATTTGGAATTTGCTCCACAGTGGTATTCAAACTGCACGGGCTATCAAAACTCCTGTGAACAGTCACCTGAGAAGGGGTGTATGTTCATACCTTTGCTTTAGAAGGAAATGTGGAATGTTTTAGGAAACCACTGATCTAAGGTCAGAGACCGACAAAAATCTGAAAACTACCAGTGTCCCCTGTGAGCATGATCATCCAGGCCACCTGCTCAGTCGTACAGAAGGCTCTAATATCAGGGATACCGCCCCCATAGTATACTTTCCCTCTTCCTGTCTGGTCTGTCACTGAAAAGAACATGTGAATTTCTTTGTGAGCGAGGGGTTCCAGCCGGATCATTCCAGAAAAATTCTCCGGAAATTGCCACCTTCCAGCCAATAACTATAAACTGAAAACAGTTCCTAGTAAAGAGGGCGTGAAGGAAGCTTCGCTTACCTCTGCCTCAGTTTCCTCCTTTGCGCAGCGTCGATAAAAGCGGTGCCCACCTCTAGAGGTCCTGTGAAGAATAAATGAGTTAAGACCAGTAGAGTTCTAAGAAACCCTGTGTGGCACATAAAAAAATGCTCAGTGAACGGGCACACGGGATGAATGAAGAGGAGGCCAGCCAGCCATCTGTCTGTGGCAGCCCTCGACTGGGAATTCTACCCAGCGCGCGGCAGAAATGACCGGCCTGAGCCATGGCGCGGTGGAGGCAGAGTGGAACCTAATTCCCACTTCTCTGCTGCGAAGCATAAACCACACACCAGGGGAGAGGGCGAGGCTTCTCAGGAAAGAATTCCTTTCGCATCTTGGCTTCACCTTGGCTCCGCAGCCCCGATCACCCCTTGGAGCCACCGTAGTCTCAGCTACAGGTGTGGTCACCTGTTTTTTTTAAAAAACCGCACATCCCACCAATCGTCTCCTCTGCTTAACCCACCCCTCAGGGTTGCGCATGCTCCCTGGGCTCGGATAACAGTCGATAAAGAGACGCCGGAAGTTGGGAGATGAGGCGGGTCGGTCGACTTGCGCGCGTGAACAGAATGAGCTCCCCGGAGCATTTCACTTTTCCCTTTCTGCGTTAAGGGAACACACAGCAAGCCTGCTCTGTAAAAGAAAAGGCCATATTCTGGATGTCTTCGTGGGGATATGATAGGTTTCATTCCCTCTTCTCTGAGTTTCTAGAAACTTCCGCCCCAGATCTGAATATGAAAACGTGTCATGGGGAGGAGAGAAGGCGGCTCACCTGTGGGGCCTCCCCGACGCAGCCAGCTCTTCTCAGTTGTTTTCGGTCAGGTAATTCAACTGAACTCACAGCACATAAATCGAAATCTTCAGATTTGCATGCTAACTTCTATTTCTACTTTCTTAAGCGAATCTGGCTTTTAGCTATTATACAGAACACGCGTGATAAATCTTTAAAAAAAAATAGACTAAGTCTGCGGGGGAACCTCTGGGGAAGGTGTTACTCTTGGCTCCTGACTTCAGGTACAAAGCTCTGTCGCTTCCATTGCCCTGTTCTCCACCCCAACAAGTCTCAGTCGTTCAGGCAGGAAGCAAACAGAAGGCAGAACAGAAAGTAGTTACCAGGGCTCGTGGGCAGGGTTCCCTGGGGCAAAAGGATGCAGGCCGGAAGCACCTGGCCTGTGGTTAGGTGGAGTGGGCTGGTCATTTCTGAAGCAGAGGGAGGAGTGGTTTCAATGTTTCTCTTGTCTGCCTCCTCCAGCATAAAGATAGATGGAGACAGGAGATGAGCCAGCATCTCAGTGGCAAGACAGGAAAGCAAAGCAACACATCCGAAGTGAATCCAAGCCGGGGGGGTCTCTGCTGCGTTCCTCCAAGTGGGGTGCACTACAGTTCTGCAACCAACAGGGTGAACCCAGAAACCAGGCAAGGGAAATCCCCACTGCAGACATCCCATGGAGTCTTGGAGAAAGAAGTCTCCAGGGGGCTCTGGCTGTGTTAGAGCTGAAAGTGTAAACCCTCAAATGAGGCAGCCTTGGAGGGGGACCCCTGGAAAGGGAGCATCCTGCTTCCCAGAACCAGAGTGAGGGGAATGAGTATCTGGGCATAAAACAACTCACAGGTCTAAGAGTTGTCTATTCATATACCGTCCGTATCTACATAAGGTTTTCTCTTCGCTGATTGGATATCTTTCCATAAACTTGCATTTAGAGCACTGATTGACTTTCCAGCCCCAGCCTATCTGGAGAAGATACTCCCGGGGAATGGGAGAGAAGATAATAAACCTGAGAGCCTCACGGAACCGTTCACTTGTCCAGGCATAAACCAGTGGAGATGGTGCTCGGCACTCTGTGAACTCTGATTTCCTTGCTTGATGTGTGACCTTGGACACTTGCCAGGGCCCTTCCTCCCCAGCAAGTGGCAGCTGGGGCTGTAAATGGAACTGTGGCTACAAAGCTGGTGAGTTATGTAATTCCTCACAAAAAGTGGACTTCTCCGTGGAATCGTGGGTGACCACGAACACAGTTTTTTGTGTTTGTTTTTTTCTAAGAATTCATAACAAAAGCCGAGATGAAAAGCTGTTTTTCCCTTCTAGGTGCTCTTTCTGTTTATTTCTGTTATTAGAGGTTTAAAGCTGTTGGATATGAAGGCCAGCCTGCTTTAAAAGCTGGAGGTCTTGCCTTGAGGATCATAAAGTTAGTTCCAGCCTTCTGTGGTTTCGTAGCTACAGTGGAAGAGGGGAAAATGCCTAGAATTGGGACTTTTTAAATGACATTAAAAATATACAAAGTATAAGCTTTATGAAGTATACAAGGTATGAATTCTAAAGTATGAGGGGAGGGGAAATGTCTAAACTATGATAAAAAGTAACAGGAAGAAATGGGAAGGCTTGATCTGGTACAGGCTGGCCACCATTTTAATTCCTTTCCTATGCTTCTGGGTAACATTTCCTTACTGTTCCTTCCTGTTATTCATCATTACTGTTAATGTCAAAGCAGTATATATATTGGAAAAACAATATTTCGTGGATGAAATTCCATCTATTTTATTTAGATCCAGCATGGGTCTGTGAGCTGGTTATCTCACTTTGGGTAATAGAAAGATGATGTGAACACTTGAAGTAATTTGGGCACAGTGTTATAAATGTGTAAGGAAATGTCGCTGTTTAAAGGAATCTAGATATTCAGCAAATTATTACGTGGACCCATCTCTTATTCTGCTTATTTTGTAAAGGGATCAGTCTTTTTGTAGAGGCACTGTTGTGTTAAATATATCTGAATTTTCACATACCGAGATTTCCTACAGCAAGGCAGGACTGTGTTTTATCATCTTATTACTTCTGATTGGCTGGATTTTTTTTTTAAGAGTCTTGTACAATTCGTATTGCTAGTGTAAAACTAAGTATACGGGGCCTGACCCTCTAAGTGGGAAGAGAATAAATTGGAAGCCACTGGGGTACAATTTGGTATGTTAACTCACCCCTGATCTAAATTTTAGCCTAATGGAATGAAGTCACAGCTGGGTGGAGAGAGGAATGGTCTCCTGTCAGTCAGTGTAGCTGCTGAGTCAGGAGAGAGAGGGACCACTTGCTCCCGGGTGGGTAATAACATAGGCAGAGGGTAAAGTTTTCTCCAGCTCACACACAGACACACAGACACTCAGGCACACCAGACTGATTGCATCACTTATGATATAGATTTACTTGTAGATAACAAAGATCCAAAATAATGGGTATTTTAAGAAACGAATTTGCTTCTCATGTGTAAATGCATAATTCAAGACTGTCTGGCAGCTCCTCATTTATCGGGACTCAGGATGCTTCTAGACCGTCCTTCCATCCCTGGGAAGTGACTACCACCCTCACGGTCCAGTATGGGGGACCAGAAATCATTCCATTTTCCAGGAAGTATTCTAGAAGAATGCCTGTGGAAGGAACTACAGATCATTGTCTAATATCTAATCTCGCTTTCTGAGTTCTAGAAGCCTCATGGTTGTCTGGAATAAGAAGTCCATCCCTAGTCCTGTGGCAGCTCCGACTTCAGGCTACTGGGAGGTGAGGAAAGGAGGTATGTGAGAGGTCCCGGTTGTGTCATGAAAGGCAGCAGCAGTATACCATCTCTTAGCCCCTTTTCTCCATTTTGGATAATGAAGTCAGAGGTCACTGGGACACAGTGGTGCCACTACCCCAGCCTTGCCCTGTCCATTCAGATTTTTCCATGAGACAGAAATAAACTTCTGTCTCATCAGCCTCTGTCATTTCAGTCTCTGGTAAATGCTGATGACAGTAAAGCCTACCTAATACACCTATCTTTAGGGAAATTTCATGGAGGGATAAAGGTATTTTAGTTACTCAGGTCCAGTGGTAAGCCCCAAAGCCTCATCACTGGCCTTTGGCATTGGCACATTGAAAACCATTTTTCCAGCATTCCCAGTCTTCTAGATAGTGCTCTAGGGCATTAGGGCAATGCAAAATGAAATGTGACCTGCTCCTTCCCTCAAGTAACTTAGTATCAAATTGAGGACAGAATGAAGAGAGCAAATATTATTGGATGCCAGTCATATGCAGGCACTGCTGTAGTTGTTGGCACATGTCATGCATTCCTTAACCTGCCCCTCATGAAATTTTTGTGGAGTCCTCATACTACAGATGTGGACCCCAAAGCTGAGGAATGTGGCCTGTGCCCAGAGCTGCATTTAGAATAAGCAGTGGGATTGCAATTTAAGGTTTAGGTTTCTGACTCAGGAGCCAACCCTTCAAGAGGCTGCTTCAGGGGCATGTATCTGAAAGGCGAGAATGCCACCTTCATGTGACAAGGGCCAAGCCCTTCAGATGCCTCAGCTGACTCTTCTAGGGAGGTCACCAGCCTTCATAGTTTCCCCAGGGTCACTATGGGACTATGAATAACCACAGGCTTCTTCTTCCCCTTCTATAAGGAAGAGTAAACCCACCTCAGGCCACCACACCTACGAAAGTGTCACCTTATGGGTCTTATCACTATGACTGCAATCTGTATTTTCTTTTCTCATTGAAAAACAAAAAATGTTCACCAGACAACTCCCTTTCTGACCCTTGCTTTTGCCTCCTTATCTACTTTGGACTCCAGGCTCTTCCGCTCTGGACATTTCTCTCTCCATATTCCGCATACGTAAAATAGCACTAGGAACCTGTATCCCCCTTCATTCAAGGGCTTATTATGCCTAACTGACCCTAAAGCATATAAAGTAGCCTGTCCAGACATTTATAGAATTATATCATCTCTTAAATCATGTCACACCTTTTGCTAAAAAATACCCAGCTCTTAAATCATTTGCAGAGGTAAGCCAAGGTTCAGAGTCCTAGACAACCATAAAGTCTGAATGGGATGAAAATTTCAAAATCACTTGAAGAATTTATATGTGCTCAAATTGCAATATCAACTCCGAATGATCACCTAACACATGGGTAATGCCTGGCTTGCCTACCCATTTTGAGAGTAGTAAGAAAAGATGACAAGCCTCTCTTACATACTAGGAGAACTCATTCCAAAGAATTATCTGAATTCAACCCAGCAGAGATCTTTGCCAGTATTAGCTTTGAAGGAAGGGGCTGTGGTCCCTTATATTATTTATGGTAAGGGAACACAAGCTGATGAAACTAAAACCCCCCAAATCTTATAAAATAAAATAAGAGCTTATTTCTTTTTTTTATATTTTTATTATTTATTTGAGAGAGAGTGAATGAGAAGAGTAGGGGGTAGAGGCAGAGGGAGAAGCTGACTCCCCACCAAGCAGGGAGCCTGATGCAGGGCTCTATCCAGAAACTCCAGGGTCATGAGCTGAGCTGAAGGGAGATGCTCAACCAACTGAGCCACCCAGGCGTCCCAGTAAAAGCTCATTTCTTGCTCACAGCATCATCCCATTGGGTTTTCAGGGGCCAGCCTTCAATGAGATGATTTGGGGACCCAGGCTCCTACCATCCGCTCAGCTCCTCAGAATGGTTCCTCTGCATTTGGCCCAAAGACAAGGGAAGTGACAAAGTATGAGATATTGTGCTGCTGTTTTATGGTCAAGTCTGGACATCACAATGTATCCACAAGGATCCATTATTCTGAATTCAGACTCCAAGACCCAAACCTAATTGTGGGGGAGGTTGGAAAACGTAGTCTTCCAGTGTGTCCTGGACAAAGAATTGGACTCCAGCATAAACAGCTGTCTCTGCGCCACTGTGGGGGTTAAGCCATTGGTAGTTGGTTTTACCACCCATTTCCGATGGTTGGTATGTATTTCCTCACTCCCCTGATCACCTACATGCAGAGGTGTCTGGTGCCTAGGAGGCCCTGGTACTCTGACATGAAGGGAGGGGCAGATCTTGGCCATGAATTTTCAACTTCCACCTGCTGTGTTTTCAAATCAGCGTGGAGTTCTGTTGGTATCTGTCACTGCCCTCCCCCCACTCATCCTCACTGCCACCCTAACTTGCCTTTTCAGGTCTGGGAAGTGGAATGCTGAGTATCTTTGCCTTCCACCTCCACAGACAGAAGAAAAGAGGCTTTTACTCTGAGGTTATGGCTTTTGTGTGGCATAAGAGCCTCCTCTCCCCAGAAGGGATTCTCCCCTAAGGCCATCAACAGAGATCCCTTCCCCATTCAGCTCCTTGTATCCTTATCACAGGTGGAATGGCAAGTAAGCCTAGATGTGAGTTCTAGAGCTTTAGTTAGAAGCAGCAGCAATGAACTTGAAATTTGGCTGTTGTCCTATTTGGAAGTCATTATGGTTACTGGGTCTGTTCGCAAATAGTCATGTTCTCTTTTCAGAGACCTAGGAAGATTGCACTTTCCTGACAACTTTGGCAGCTGGTAGCAGGGCCAGAGGGCTTCACCTGGTCAAGGAAATGTGAGCAGACGTGATTTATCATTTCCAGGTAGGAATTTGAGGAGCCAGTATTTGACTTAATTGTGTTCCTTTTCCCCCTCCCCACCAATGCCTCTTTAGGTGATGATCTGGTGGTAATTTTTCCCAAAGGCGACACTCATAAGGCTCTTTCCCATAAGAGTTCTGTCAGCCTGGGTCCCTCAATTACTACAATAATCAGAGGCCCCTGATGATTCTCGATGGACACGTAACAATGAGAGAAAAATAAGCATGGCTTCACTAAGCCAGTGTGAATTAGAGATGGTTTGTTACCCAGAATAACCTGAAAGGACCTAGCAGATAAAAGTCCCATGATTTCTAAAAGTCCCATGATTTCTTTCGAGGACAGAACCTTCTTCCATTGACTTTTACTTTGTTATGAAACCTTTACGCTTACAAATTACATGCACAAAATCTAATTTTTTTAAGTGCAGCCGTGTAAACATCACCCAACTTCAGAAATAAAACCTGACCCAATTCCTTTAGATTCTACCATGTGACTCTCCTCCATTGATTATTCCCTTCTTCCCCCCAAAAGATGAGTTATTTTTTCTATTAATGATTCATTTGAGTTTCTTTCTTTCTTTCTTTCTTTTTTTTAAGATTTTATTTATTTATTTCAGAGAGAGAGGGAGAGAGAGTACAAGCAGGGGGATCAGCAGACAGAGGGAGAGGGAGAAGCAGACTCCCCGCTGAGCAGGGAGCCCGATGCGGGACTCGATCCTAGGACCTGAGATCATGACCTGAGCCGAAGGCAGAGGCTTTAACCCACTGAGCCACCCAGGCACCCCTTATGTTCTGTTTTTAGGATTCATCTACGCAGATACATGTAGCTATATTTTAATTCACTTTTGCTGCAGTTTAATGAGTATCACAGTATGAATTTATCCCTTCTTCAAGCAGGTGGCCATTTGAATTTCCTGTTGGGAATTTCTGAATTAGAAACTAGGCTAATATGAGGATTCTTGTGTATATTGTGGTGTGCACGTGTAAGAATCTCCATAGACGTACACCTAGGAAGAAAAATGCTCTACTTTGCTCCATATATCCAAATTGTTCTCCACAGTAGCTGCTCCAATTCATACCACCACCAGCTTGTGAGACTTCCTGCACTGTACCCTCACCAGCCCCTGCTAATGATGGCCTTTTTCTTTTGTTCACCATGGTGCTGGGTATCAAATGGTTTCTGACCATGGTTTTCATTTTCTTGAAGACATACTTCCATCACAAGTGAATTTGAGAAACCTAGCTGAGCAGCTGTTCAAAACAACTTGGCGTAGGTATTCTTAAATTAGGTAAATGTCACAAACCAGGCCCCTTCTTATAGAAGAGGTTGTAGTTGGAACAGGCACAATTATTCATTTTTGGACATTCAAAAATACCAAAGGATTTATGCTACTGTTTGTGTTGTAGGTTAAACAGTTATTTCTTAAGTGGCTTCTTTTAGGGGTTAACAGTATTATCTAAAGCTGTGGAAAAAGCAAATACATTTCAGGGAAATTATAAACATTTCTTTTATCTCACCAGATAAAGAGATTTAGTAGAAGTCCTAATGCACCCACTTGGCTATACACAATTTATAGCAGATAAAGAGTTTGAAACACTTTTATTTAAACAGTCACAGTTTTGTTTTCTTTGTTTTTTTGAAGGTTACTAAAAGGCTCTTTGACACTCTTTGTAAGTGGGGAACCATCTCAGAATAAGAACTGGTTCTGGATAATATCAGAATTCATTTCCCACTAAGCATCTCCATTGAGCACTTTTTTCATCTCTGAAGCCTTTCCTTTTATGTAGTGTTTGCATCATTGACACCTCCTCTTACTGAATCCCTCATATAAACAAGGGATGTAATAAGCCCTAATGTATTTTACCAAGATTTTAAGAGATGTGGTTATGGTATGAGGATAACCAAATGGGGTAGAAAGTAAAGCAAAATTTCCATAAACTCCTCAAGCTCATCTGACGCTGACAACTCTGTAAGGCCGGGAAAGAAACATTGTCCCTGTGTTTATTCATCAGTTAGGATTTGATGAACTCCAAATGTTATCTGACCAGCCAAATCCTGTAACACAGCCTTTCAGGAGAAAATTAGAAGCTCAGCCCTGTTTGGAAGACAGACTTGAAAATAAATTTACTTTCTCCCTATCTACGTCCTCATGGCAACAGGGAGTTTCATGAACCACAACAATAATACATGAAAAGCAAACCTTCGGAATTCACCATCTTAATCCAGTCACATAAGAAGGCAGTCCATCCAAAACTTAAATTTTGCGTGATCTGTCTCAGCTGAAAGCGAGCTTAGTCACTGTCTGAGCAGCCTACGTGGAAGGGCTGGTTTCTGGTTAACTCTCCTCTCCGTGATTTTGTCCTCTGTGAGATTCCGAGGTCTTCCACGGCAAAGGTTGGTGAGGGCCGGGCAGCAACAGGGATCCTTTGGGACTGAGGAGGGCCAGTGGACTGAAGAAGTATGGCTTAGATGAATGCTACTCCCAGTGGGGTCTGTGGACTGGTGCCAGCCTGCACACCTGTTGTTCCCAGTCTCCAATAGAAAGGGGGACACGTTGAGAGCAAGGATCTAAACTTTTTGTAGCCACAGATGCTGCTGCTAGAGCCCCGTGGATGAGAGCTGAATTTGTCTCGCTAAAGGACATGTTCTACAAAAGAATGGGCTAGTGACATTTAAAAAAAATAAATAAACGACAAAACACTTACCCTTCACCACAGAAGGTTGGAGAAGGGTCGGTCCAGGGATATGGTTAAAACTCAGATTCTTGATCGCCAGTCGATTTGAGTGATGTCATGACTCTGCATTCTGAACGAGTTTCTAGGTGGGGCTGCTGCTATGGTCAGGACCGCCCTTGACATGGCAGTGGTCTAGATTCAACTAAATACAAGAAGCTCCCTGCTATTTGTCACGGATGACTCACAAACGTGGACACTTTAATTCTGTGGTGCCAGAAGGTAACACCTTTTAGATACTTGTATTTGGCACCTTCTATGTTTTTAGAATGTGGGAATTACCATTTGTCATGCTCCAAGTGTTCCGCTCTTTAAGACTTTTCCATGTTATCCCCTTCTGCCCTCTTAGAACTGGCATTATGGTGACATTCTTCTGAATTTTTAGAGCTTCCTCTTTCACTGTTTGAAAGCTTTGCCAGTGTGTTAACAGCATACACATGCTGGGTCTCATAACCATTGCAGGCAATGCCTTCTGGAAAGAGACGGGGATTATAACTGGCATCAGTACTGACCTGAATTTTAAGACATATTCATAAAAGAAGGGAAAGACTTGATCTCCGGTATTAGAAACCCACAGTGCCTACCATCCAAGCTGCTCAAGTAACCTTTGACAACTCACCTGAGTTTCTTTGTTGCAGTTTCTAGAACATCAGCCAATCCTAGATCTCTTCAAAATGAACAGAGCCTGGCACTTAGGAAATTAACTGCCTCTGAAGGCAGTAGTCCCCTTCTCTCCTTCTGTAAATAGCTAGGAAGAACAACCCGGAGCAGCTCCTGAGCCTCTTGGAGACTTCCATCAGCATCACTGCTAGAGAAATTCAAGAGCTTTCTTTAAGGCAATTCTGCCACTAAGTCAATTATCACAGGGTGTGGCAGGCTTTTAGAGAGATTAAACTACCCTTCCTACTGAAAGAAAATGATGAATTCTCAAACGGGACCCCTCTAATAATCCATTTGCTCGGCGACATTGTACTCCTATTGGCCAATTATCTAGTTTGATGCCCGTTGTTTGAACAAATGTCTTCGAATTCTGGGAAAGATGTACAATTCGGAGAGCTACTTGTACAGAAAAAAGGGTCAGTATCGTCCTTAGAAGAAAACGTCCTCGAGAGTCTGAGAGATTGAAAGCAAATCTGTAAATAGAAGCCACTTAAGGGAAGTCTGAAAGAGCATGTTTTAAATTCTGAGTATATCCCAATTGTGGCAGTTTCTTTACTTTGATTTAGCTGCTGCTCAATGGCCTTCTGTGCACTTCTATGCACTTCTGTGCTTCCATCTCATCTGCAAAATGGGGATAATGACAGTAAAGATTAAATGAATTAATACATGTCAAGACCTGAAAATAGTCCCTAGTGTATAGTAAATGCTACATAACGTTTCCTGGGATCTCATCATTTTAAAGAGTCTTGGTGACTTGGGAGCCCTTCCATCCCACCCACTCCACCCCACCCCACACCTGCTCTAGACAACTCCCATCCCCTAGCCTGAATACCAGTATTACCCAGGCTGGTGTATACTGGTAAAAGCATAGACCAACTCCATTCAATAGAAATACAATACGAGGGGCATCTAGGAGGCTCCGGTGGTTAAGATTCTGCGTTCAGCTCATGTCGTGATCCCAGGGCCCTCGAGCCCAACCTTTCAGCTCCCTACTGAGTGGGGAGCCTGCTTCTCACTCTGCCTCTAAACTACCCACCCACTCATGTTCTCTCGCAAAAAAAAATAAAAAAATATGAGTCATACATGCAATGGTAATATTTTTAAGAGTAAAAAGGGGTAGAACTAATTTTAATATTTAAAAATATAACCCAACACAGCCAAAATATTATTTCAACATTTCATCAATTTAAAAATTATTAATGAAATAGTTGACATCCTTTTTTTCACAATAAGTCTTTAAAACATGTCAACTTTTACACTTATGGCATATTCCAGTTTGAATGCTACATTCCCATTAGGATATTTGCTAATAAGTATTTAAGTTTCATAAAATTTACAGTTGGAAAAATACCTTTACTTACCCAAGTTGTTACAAACATACTTGAAACTTTTCCAGTAACTGAAGGGAGTTTTCACTCACTGGATTATATATCAGTTTTTTTTTTTTTAAAGTTTAAATTAAATAAAATTGTAAATTCAGTTCCTCATTTGCACCAGCCATATTTCAAATGCTCAAGAGCTACATGAGGAGAGTGGGTACCATTTTGGATAGCACAGGTGTAGACTGAAAACACACAGGTGTGCCAAGTCATGATATGGTCCCTGACAAGTTATGTGACTTCTCTCAGCCCTAGTTTCGTCATTACAATTTATAAATATACAATAGAGGAAAATATAACTTTATTAATAATTATATTTTCTTTAGTATTAGAAATAATGTGTCAAACACATAGCACTGTGATAAACAGATTATAACAGATCTTCAATGAAGAGGGACTGTTTTTCCCTTATCAGTTTAAGAAAAAACTGAAACATCCAAAAAGCTATAAATCATACAGTGAATCCCCACATACCCGCTACCTAGATTCTAGTATTGTTAACATTTGTTTATTGTGCTTTATCACATGTCGGTGAGAAAGGACATTGACTACCTCCATTTTGACCTCGAACTTTCTAATTAAGTTCTTTGCAGCCAATCTCTTAACTCAAGCAAAGGCCCCACAGGCAAAAGTATCCCGTGATGCGATCCAAAACTCCTTCCTCGAGCAACAGGGACAGCCAGCAAGATTGTGCGTGACTGACCCCAAGACAATGATCCACCTGACTTTTACTGCCCACCTACACATAGTCACCAAGCCCTATCCTACATTTTCTTTATATGAACCAAGAAGTATTTTCAGCACTTTGGAGACCATTTTTGAAGAAATATTAGTCTGCTGCTGTCTTCCTAGTGTTGGCCTCAGTGAAATAAATCCCTTTCTTCTTTCACCACCACTCGTCTCTGCCTTTGGATTTTGTCAATAGCAAATGGTCACACCTGGTCTGTCTGGGACTCTGGAGCCAGGTGCGCTAGCTTCCCTGTGCTGGGGTTCCATCTGCATATCCACTCATCTGTCCATCTGACTTTCATGTAGTTTAAAGTAGATGCAGACATCAGTATACTCCACCCTTGAAACTCCAGCATGCGCATCATAAACTAAATTCACTATTTGTCTTTCCTTTCTCCCTTCCATCCTTCCTTTTTCTTTGGCTTCCTTATTTACGTTCAGGTAAAAATATACATAGTGGGGGCGCCTGGGTGGCTCAGTAGGTTGAGCCTCTGCCTTCGGCTCGGGTCACGGTCTCAGGGTCCTGGGATCGAGCCCCGCACCGGGCTCTCTACTCGGCGGGGAGCCTGCCTCCCCTCTCTCTCTCTGGCTGCCTCTCTGCCTACTTGTGCTCTCTCTCTCTGTCAAATAAATAAAAATCTTTAAAAATATATATAGGGGCGCCTGGGTGGCTCAGTGGGTTAAAGCCTCTGCCTTCGGCTCGGGTCATGGTCCCAGGGTCCTGGGATCGAGCCCCGCATCGCGCTTTCTGCTCAGCAGGGAGCCTGCTTCCCCCTCTCTCTCTGCCTGCCTCTCTGCCTACTTGTGATCGCTCTGTCAAATAAATAAATAAAATCTTTGAAAAAGAAAAAAAAATAAAAATAAATAAATATATATATATATATATATACATACATATATATATATATAGTGAAATGCGCAAATGTTCAATGAGCCATTGGATGAACATTGACAGTGCATATACCTGCATAAACAAAACTGCTGTCAAGACAGAGAACATGTTTATTATTCCAGAAAGTTCCCTTACAACTCCTCCTTGCTAATCCTAGTCCTTACTGTCCTGCTTCTCGCCCCAGGCAATCATTGTTCTGGTCACCCCCTACAGATTAGCTTTGTTTGATCTAGAATTTCAGTCACACAATATATGATAGTTTTGTGGAAACTTTTCACTTAGCATAATGTTTTTGAGATTCATTCACGCTGTCGTGTATTTACTCCTTTTTATTATTGAGTACTAATTGCGGCCATTTTTAGTCAAAACTGTCGCCCCAGGGCACCTGGGTGGCTCAGTGTGTTAAGCTTCTGCCTTTGGCTCAGGTCATGATTTCAGGGTCCTGGGATTGAGCCCCACATTGGTCTCTCTGCTCTCAGGGAGCCTGCTTCCTCCTCTCTCTCTCTGCCTGCCTCTCTGCTTACTTATGAACTCTGTCAAATAAATAAATGAAATCTTAAAAAAAAAAAAAACTATCACCCCTCTCCTCAACCAAACCATTCCATTCCTTTACAACTCACTAAAGTCCACACCCTGTCAATCCACCATGGATCTAAGGCTTCCAGCTGTTGAAGCTAGCTCAACTCCTTACAATTAATGAAAGAAAGTCTTCCTATGACATCCTTTAAAATTTATGTACAGTTGGAAAGTTTCTGAGCTTTCTATGGAGAAGGCAAAGCTTTTCTAATTCCTTCAGTTCTTCATACAATGATGTTTTAGCTTCTTTTGATGTCCTGGTCATTCTCTGTGTTCACTCTCTTAGCACAGTTTGTAATTCAGATTTACTGGTTTGTTTATTGATTCTCACCTCTAATGAGCTGTAAGTTTTACTGGGCAACACCATGCCTATTTTGTGCATCTGTGTACACCCAGCACCTAGGATCATGCCTGTAATCAGAAGGCCCTCAACAAATATTTTTTGAATGAATAAGTGACTATAGAAAGAAAGAGCCCACCTTTAAGCATGTTTAATTTCACCTATATGTTAAGTATATATGTGACATCAGGCAGGTATTGGAGGAGGGGTGAACACTGGAGCTTGAGGAAAACACTAATTTCCAAGAGACAGGCCTCAGGGAAGTTGCCAGCCAAGTGCACTGACTCCATTCCTGGAGTCCCTGTCTCCACCTCTTCTCCAGTGAGCTGAGTGAATAACCTACACCAAAATCTGAAACTTCCCTTACAACCTAAAACCAGTCATTATTAGCTGTGCCCCTTTATTTTCCAAGTGTCCTTAAGTCTCCACAATTAAGCTGACAGTGCACCTTTCCCTTCATGCCCAAGTCCAAATGTGTGAGATAATTTTTTAAAATATTGTTTTGCCATTCTAGTATTTATCTTACCTTTCTTCCAAGCAGATAGACGGGACTTTTTGTTCAGTTCCTTGCTTTGGAGGAGTTTGTGATTCATAAAAGCAGAAATTACCTTTGTCTTGACCCTCAGTCTTGTTTTTCCAGAAGCATCAGATTTCTGAAGGAATCATCCTAGGGGTGGTGAGGGAGGGGGGATTAGAATCTTGCTAAAGGAAGCAGGGATATTTCTCCTGACCTGGAAAGGGGTTGGGGTTGATAGACCCCTAAAAAAATGTGACCCACACCCAGCTCTCCAAGCGCCCTGGAAGGAGGCAGCACCCCAGAAGGGAATGGCTGTGGTACCCTACAGAGCCTGGACTCTAACCACCAAGCTCCCCAAGAGCAGTGCTGACACTGGGTCTCAGCTTTGGCAAGGAAGAAGCTGCAGACATACCCACCTCTGGTGAGGCACCCAGCTTGGTACACCAGGCATCAGGGGTCAACGTGATGTTTGAAGGAGAGGGCCTTCTGACTGCTGTATAAACCTTCCAACTTGTTATATGGCCCTAGAGAAAGAGAAGGGGGAAGAGAATTCTGTCCTCACACCCATCTCTAGAATGACAAAAATTGGATTTCTTCTTGTTGGGGAGCAGTGGAGATTTGGGCACGGATTTGATTTGCTTTAGAAAAAATACAGATGGCCCTTGAGATTGTGCATTAGATTGAGAAGGACAAATAGGAGAGAAGAGAGGAATAAGAGGAAGAAATTATGCTACATGAAAGGAGAAAGGAAAAGGGAGAAAATGAGCAGAAAGAAGGAAAAATATGACAAGGGTTCGTTCGAATGGTAGCCCATATGCTATAAAGCTCAATAGTCATAAGATACAAAGCGAGTTAACAGACTGTTAAATAATACATATTCTAGCCCCTTCCTTGACAAATAAATATTCACAATGATAGAATGAAAACTCTGTTTAAAGCTATGGGTTTTTATATGACTGAGAGTCAACAAACTCTCAAAGATGACTGGATTTAATTATATTGTGCATGTCTGAGTGTTCCTTTGATGGGCTAGCGCTGTTTGATAAGTAATAAAATAACTCATTAATTCACAGATATATTCCATAAAATTTGCTTTTCTTGCCTTTGTTTCAGCAAAACACTAATTATGTTATAATCAGCATTTGCATGTATTTGTATTCTATTGACACCAATGCTAACATAGATACATTTCTTGAAATATTATAGTCTAGGATAATTTTTTTTAAAGATTTTACTTATTTATTTGACAGAGATCACAAGTAGGCAGAGAGGCAGGAAGAGAGAAGGGGGGAAGCAGGCTCCCTGCTAAGCAGAGAGCCCAATGCGGGGCTCTATCCCAGGACCCTGAGTTCATGACCTGAGCCAAAGGCAGAGGCTTAAACCACTGAGCCACCCAGGCACCCCTAGGATAATTTTTTTATTATTAATTTCTATTTGGAGAACATTCACTCTGCTAAAGAAGTAGTACCTGGAGTTAACGGAATTCCTTTATATATCATGCTTATGCATGATATCTGGATTGTGTATAATAGATTATTTTTACTATAGAAGTTATAAAATATTTCCACTTCAATATATACATTGTCATATCGTGATTTTCACCATCTCTCAAAGCAGTATCTAGAACCGTGCAATAATGTAAAGCAGAATACTTCTCACACTGTATCTTTATCCATATCTAGACAGATTTAGTAGTAATTGGATTATTTAATTTTAGAAAATGTTTCTCAGACTCCATGTGCTGGTGCTCTGAATATTGTGCTAATTTGTAAATACCTCTGGAACCACAAGGAGGAATAAGAAAGTGTATGTTCAGCACTAATGGGAAATGATACTTGGTCACATGAGACTATCACACTCATGCTATCAGAGAACAATGATTTGACAAGTTAATTAATTTGTCTTTTCTCTTACCTAAGTGCCTCTGCCATTCAAATCTTGTCACTAGCTCCAAAGTAATGTTTGTTTCTGATGTATCAATGGTACAACCCAGAGGTCTTCATGGCATTTGGATGGAGTCATCTTTATTATTTTAAGGACAAAAGGCAAGGACAGAGAAGGCCCCCATTTCCCTGGGGCCTGAACAGTGTTAATTACGAGCATGGATGTTTAGGGTTACATCACCCGAGCACTGAACACTGGATCCCAATTGACAGAGGTGCCCACATGGTCTTTAATTCATTTATGTCTCTTTGTGACAAGTAGGGCTCTCTAGGGTATGAGGCCAGAGAAGAACCCCTCTTGTCTGGTGTAAGCTCAGTACTGCAAAGGAGAGGGGGAATGAAGAGAGGGAAGGCAACAGGAGAAAGAAAAGAAAATAGACCACAAAGACTCTAAGGCTACCTCTCACATCCCCAAGGTAAAGTCTCTGACCTTTAATGGTCTCCGTCAAAAAGACTAAGTTCTAGAGGATCCAAAGAAAAATCTTCAGCTTACATACATTCAAAGAGCCTCTATAAACAAATGTATATAAATATGTAAATACATGCTCTGTGTAATCTTTACAAATTACATGTAATTTAAATATTATATATTTTTTTGCATAGCAATGGAATTATTTTCTTCTTTCCAATGTTTTCTGCTTTCCCTCTCCTTCTGAGATGGAGTTTGGGAGATGCTGGTGTAGGATGGTAGAGATAAAAAAAAAAAAAATCATATATGGCATTACTGGTTGCCAGATTGAGGATTTCAGAGAACAGTAAGGAATATGTCTGTAATTTTAGGAATCCATTTGGAATTGACCATTTGCTGAAGGGGAAGGGTAAATAAAATATGCCTTAGAAAATAAACATCGGCCCTCTGTAATGTCCATTGATTAAAAAAAAAAAATTTCTAACACAGGTACACACAGTC